ATGCCGTTGGACATGCTCCAGAAGACTTCCTGAATCCTCGCAAGGACAAGGACTGGCTGTTTCCCTGAAAAAAGCCTCACGCTCCAGCTTGCCATGAGACACCTGAAATGTGCTTCCAAGGTCTGCTTAATCTACAAAAGCCTGAAATCTCAAATTCCTGCCGATGAGAATCCCCTGCAAAACACAGTATTTTTGCGAAGCCACGCGTAAATTTTCTTATTTTTTGACGTAGGTATTGCGGACTCCTTATAGATGCGTGCTTCCAAGAATACTGCGGTTCGCAATGGATTCTGTGTTCTACTATTGCGTACCGATGAGTCGGCGCGCGTTTACGCTCCGGCCGAGCGTTGGGATTGTCCAGTCGGACATCCTCAGCGGCATCAATATACCGTTGCTGATCTCTCTCAGATTCAGCAAATTCAAACCAAAGTTACCTCTGTTGAGTACCTGATATGCCAAAACCTCGGCAGACGTACACGGCCTAAGTCTTGACAGACTGGTGGCAACAGGTATTCCTTGGTGAACGACCCAAACGTTTTGTTGTCGAACCCTATTGTTTTGCTTACCGTACTCCAAGTCGTGACTCCGGTATGCTCGTTTCCAGAGATACGATAACAAACTAAATCGCCAGCCTGGTATCTGCCCGGTAAGGGCGCAGATTTGCGCAGCACGGTCTTTCGCACGCGGCTGCTACAATCCTCGTGGACAAACGCTCTCCTTGCTGAGTGTCTAAACTCAGCCTTCCTCCCCAACGGTGGAGGCGTCTTGCAGCCCGGAGAGGACTCCTAGCTGGCCGAGTTCCTCTTCATCGAGGATGTGGCCGACTCCTTGCGGAAGCCTGCCTAGCACCCATTGAGTGGGGCTAAATCCACCGACTCGGAGAAATTCGTTTTTCGACACTTGGGCCTCGAGCATTGCGCTCTTCGCGTCGTCCTTTCCTGAAACGAGGTTGCTTCTAACAATCCTCTTGAACGCGCGTTTTATGACACCGCCGTGCCTTTCGCATCGGCCTATATGCTCGGGAGATTCCAATCCAGCCTGTCTGATCAGAACTCCGTGAGCAGCAAGACCATGGGCGAAAGCGCCACGGTTGTGTAATCCCCTATCATGGGTGATTACTTTGGGCCACCCAAAGGGTGAGACCCAGTGCTGCATAAACTTCTGCAAGCACTTTGCTGATCCTGGTTGGCCACCACCAACCTTGACCAGAGAAACCACTTGGTAGCATGTACCCATGTCTACCACGATGAGCCAACTAAACCTAGCTCCAGTGCAGTCAGCTGTCTCAAACACGTCCACTGACACAGTATGGTTAAACTCATATGGCGGTGGAGCTGAGACAGGGTGAGTTTTAACAGACTCTTCACTCACTCTACATGACTCACATTTAAAGAGCTTGGCAGCATTGATAAGTTCATCTGAAGCTCCAGCTCCCCTAGGAACTTGAATCAACACTTCCTTTGGCTTGTGGTTCATCATGTTGTGGAGTCTTCTAATACCTAGCCTAACCTTCCTAGGTATCTTAGCCCACTCTCTGCGTCTTTCAGACTCTTCCTTGGGAAAACCGGCTAAGGGAAGGGTATCCAAGAGGTCAGCCTCGGCTGCTAACTCAGTTTCATCCATGAAGGTAGTACGGTTATCCCTAGAATCCAAAACAGCATCAAGAGTGCCTGAAAGCTCAACCTCAGCCTGCCTAGCCTCTACAGGAAAAGCATGAGCGATCCTTTCCTCCACACAACTCTCTTGCAACACAGTAACAAGGTTCTCAGCAAAACCTTCGTGGTTGCCTATGGTATCTATGCTTACGGGGGTGTAGTGAATATCATGCTCACTGTCAGCCCAGTGCGTCATGACCTCGCCTATGGCCTGGGAGTAGGTGCCTATACCTAGGTCGCCTCTACCTTGAAACACTAAGAACTCTCTGTCACTACTCTCAACCCCGTTAGTGAACCAGTAGTCCCACCTAACACTACCCAGGCTGTCAACCACAAGGACCTCTTTTGCGTACGCGGAGAGAGACTTGAGCCAGTCCTAGTCCTGGGCTGCTCCGGTGAGACTGGTGCTGTCAGCTAGGCTATACACTAGCAACAACAAGTCCATTTTCTCGCGCGCAATCTCCTTAGAGATTTGCCGCCTCCAGCCGTCGTCCTCGATGAGGTCCATCTTGTAGCCAGGGTGCCGCACAGTGACACTGGCTCCGGTCCCTTCGAGGGATCCAGGCTGGAAGTCTGAGCTGGCGATGGTGTTCAAGTCCTTGGTGGTCGCCATGCCTGCTCCTGGCACGTTGAGTGCTTTCAACAGCATCTCATCATGCTTGTCGAGGTTCTTTGCAGAATCCTCGTATGACTTGCCTTGGCCGGCAGTCATCACTCGAAGTGTACTGGCGTACAAGTTCGGCAGCTCGCCTCCAACGTAGTACGCTGAGCCACCACGCGGCGGGACCATGAACACCAGCATGCGCTTGGGGTTGTCAGCAGGCCTGTTACCAAAGTAGGTCCACTGCTCTGCGCGGACGTCCACCTCGACGAACTCCCATCCATGCTGCCCATCACGCACTTGTGGTATCGCCGCAGCGCGTCGGGGTACTTGTCCCACGAGTTGGCCACCCTGACAGGAGGTGTGCGGCGCGACACTCCAGGGCGCAGCCAGGTCTTGAACTGGGTGGCTCCTTCGCGCTTGTGGCCACTGATAATGGCATCCATGTACTCGTCCCCCAGCCATGTCGGGTAGTTGGGGCCTTGTCGAATGCCAGGAGGTCGCGCCGCGTCACGGCGTGGGTGAGCGAGGCAGGGTCGCTGACGGTATGCGTCTGCTTGCCACGCTTACCGCCTTTGCTAGCGCCCTTATCGTCGCCCTTGCCTTTTCCGCGCTCGAACGCAGTGGAGGTAACGCGGTTCGCGGACCTGGCGCGGTCTCGAGTTTCTGCTCCGCTCCCGGACGCAGAACCTGAGGCACCACGAGTCTCAGTGGCACTCGCAGCTGTGCCGGCTGCGCCACCTTCCTCGTCGATCTGCATGATCGCCTGGTCCAGCGTTCGCGATCTCCAGGTCCGGGCACCAGTCGTGCTCCGTCCTCTTTCCTCGCTTGAAGTCTAAACAAGGCCTCGGAGGATGACCTGTCGAGATATTTGGCCGCGACCGCGCAAGCGAGGGTCACCAAATTGTCACTGTATTTCGCCATCAGTGGGCTAACCTCCGTCAATTTTGCGGGGTTAAACACACTATAGATGCGCGACAAGTACAGGACCTTCTCGAGCTCGTCGTCATTCTCCAGCGGCTCCATGAAGGGCCGCAGGTCGTGGAGGCTTGTCCCCGGGGTCCAAAGCGCGTGTCCCTTTCTTGGGATCACTTGCTGCGGGCGCTTTCACGGTGGAGTCATCCTTATCATCACTGGATGTCCGTTTCGCGGGATCATCCTTCTTCTTTTCCATCTCGTTGTCCTTGACGTCGACCGCGGCGCTAGTGCCGCTGGTGGTGTCCATGCTGCTGGGCGCAGCGCTTACAGCATCGGCAGCCCCGGTCTTCGCCTTCGCTCCTGCCTTGGCCGGTGCAGGGAAGGTGTCCTGGGCCTTGACCTTTGGCGTGGGCCTTAGGAACTCCTTCTTCACCTCACTGGCCTTTGCTTCAGCCACCTGCTTCGGGGGCTCCTCAGGCTTAGCCTTGGAGGTTGTGCAGGGGGCAGTCTGAGGAGGTGGAGATGGTGCTCCTTTAGGAGTCACCTCAGCTGTGACCTTGGCAGGCTCCATAGAAGCCTGGGCACTGTGACTCCCGGTGGGTTCTGAGGAAGTGGCCTCAGCCTTCTTGGCTTCCTTGTCCTTGTCCTTGGGGACGTGCTCCAGCCAAGTCTTGGTCACAGTCTCGAGGCACTCCTTAAGAACTGGCTTGCCAGTGTTCCACTGGCACTTCACACACAGTCCCGACCGCAGAGGTACTTCCAGTTGGGGCCGTCGCATCTGTGCGCTCGGCGGTGATCATGTGCTTAACGTTCGCCTCGTTCATGCGGGTGTGGTCGCGCAACGTGGGGTCCTTACCAGGATCACCCATTTCTCTGCAGTCCAGGAACAGGATCTGCCTATCACTCACCCCATTAAGGACGTCGTAGTTCTCCCTGAGGGACTTCAGGAGCGTGTCCTCGTGCTCAGGGTTGTCCAGGGTGAAGTCATAGGACTTTCCTCTGCGCATGGTACCAATCAGCTTGTTGACACCCTGGTACACTTTCTTGGAGCGGTGCCTGAGCTCGAGCCTCTCCAAACCAAGGGTGTATATTGATACCTTCTTTTTCTGTCCCTTGTCTCGGACACTTTCACCCAGCATGTAAGCTGAGTGGTCATCGTCCCCTACAGGGATCGATGCCTTTCTTTCCAAGTACTTCTTGTTCACGGCCTCATGCTCCTCGTTCTTGATCATGAAGTGCTTATGTCTCGAGGAGGCCTTTGCTGGGAACTGCGAGATGTTCATCAGCAGCAACCCAGTCTTGACGTGCCTGGCCAGCTCTACGCTTCCGCTGTAGCCCGAAAGCTTAGCGCGTCCTCGCCTCAGGTCCTTTGTCAGCCCAAGCTGGACCTGGTCCTGAAGCGAGAGGAGGCAAAGGATGTCGGGGCTGTCGAGCTCGACAGACCGAATCTCTCCCAACAAGGGGGCCTTGCCGACCTTGATGGCAAACGGAAGGAGAAACTTCCCGAACGGACTTCGCGGACCCTATGCCCTTGAAGTTGCCTCCTGAGCTGTCAAGCTTCAGAGGACGCGGAGGCCTTGCCGCGCCAAAACGGCGCTGGAGTGGAGCCTCCACACGACGCCGGCACGTCTGGTTGCACCCCTCGTCCAGCATGACCCAGACGTTCTCGTTGTCCGCTAAGGGATCAACGAGTCTGAGCGCTGGCTCGGGGATGGCCGCGGCCGTCTTCACAGTGCCATCTGAATGGTCACTGTCTGAGTTGACGCCCTCAGCAGAGTCGTCACTAAGTGCCATGCCCGCGAAGGGCTTACGGGCTGGCGTGCCCGAGCCGCTCCCTTTGCCACTCGAAGCACGTGGCAGCACAGGAGTGCTTGTCTGAGAAACGGCTGCGGTTGGTCGTTGAGGAGTTGTGGGGTTTGAGGCTACACGTCTTACCCTTTCAGGAGAAACAGGCGCAGAAGAGGACCTAGCAGCAGGGTCAAAGTCAGGAGTAGGTTGGCTACTACGCTCCTTGACGATGTCCATAGCATCTTCTAGAAAACTAGACATCTCTGTTGAAGTAACATTGTCAACCTTCACCAGGAACTTGTCCATGTGCTTAAAGAACCTCTTCACTACCTCAGCAGCCTCAAACTTTGTGAAGTTGCACTCCTCAAGCTGCCTGCGTGTCAGGTCCTGCTGCCTCAAGGGACTCTGCTTGACCTGGTCAGCAAGTCCTTGCTGCTGCTTCCACAACTTTTGAGGGATCTCCTCAATGTTGGCGCAGCAGTCAAGGCAGTAAACCCTGTGGACTGAGCGGGCGCTGTTGCGGTTGTCTGTGCGCTTGTGCAAGCAAACCTCGTGCCTCTGTGTAGGCTCCGGTTTTGGCCTAGGTGTAGAGGTCTTATGCCCACAAACCATGCAGGTGGTCTTCATCACATGTGCATTGCTTCCTGCACGGCTGATAGCATGTGGAGGGCACCCGCCAGCACATGGTCCTTTAGGATCCGCACGCATGTGGCTGAGCTTGCTCTTTGACTTCTTCACTAGAGTGATAGAAGCACGAGCCTTCTCCAATGAGTCCGCCTCCGCACAAAAGGGAACGCGTCTCAGAGAGACACTTCCACCCCAATGGGCGGCACCTCATAGTGTCTGAACACCCAGATGAGGTAGGCTGACAATTGGGGGCTTGGCTCCTTCTGTCCCAGTCCCCAATGGAAGTAGTCAGGGTGGCTGCGCAGGACCTCAATGAAGGTTTGACCCTTGTGCATTCCAAAGTGGAACTCTTGGTCACCTCCATCAGGGTAGTCGCCACCTACAGCTTCCCAAACCGAGGATGCACCCACTGACCCAGAGTCTTCTTCGAGCTCCTCATCAGAGGGGTCCATCTCACCTGGCTCAAAGAATCCCATGTAGGCCTCGGGGTTAAGGTCATCCTCATGCCCAAGAGCCATGTACAGAGCTTTCTCGTGCTCCATAATGGTCTCTGTCTCGGACAAGCTGGGCGATCCGGACGGATCATCAGTCTGCACAGCTTGGTCCCGAAACCGGATGGCCTGAGCCATGTGGGCCGCAGGTGTCTTTTCAGACCTCCCTTGACAGGCTTGCCCTTACCTTTTGCCTTTGACCTTACCATGAAGGCAACGGTCTCGGACTGGACGGCTTCAGAAAGAAAGGCTATACCATCACGGTCGCTCTCGTCGAAACCGTCCGTGCCAAGGAAGGCGGTGAAGACATCCAGCTCTACATCCCTTAGGGATGAGTCTGCTGTCCACGCCACAAGGTCGGCGTCTTCGCCATCGTCGCCGTCCTGTGTGTCGTCTCCACCTTCTCCGTGGTAGACCCAGTCATCTCCATGATCTGTTTCCTCGTTTGCTGCAAGTGCAGTGCCGTCCTCGTCGTAGCTATCGAAGATCTCTTCCACGGCCGAAAGGTAGGAGAAGGAAGTTCCCTTGGAGGAACCCTTTCCTTTACCAAACTTCTTCACAAAGCTACCTTTGCCTTTGCCACCTCCAGTTCCTCCCTTGGAACCGGTTCTTCTCTCGGTGGCATGGATGCGGCTATGCATCTTGATGAGAGCCTTTTCGGCATCCTCTACTTTTGTAGAGGTGCCCATCGCCGTTAGCACCATGAGGCGCTCTTGCCGATTCAATCCTGAGTTGTCCAGGATCAAGTCCGTAAGAACGGCCTCATTGATGGCAACGTTCTTGTCAAGCTGTTGGAGCTTGCGCCACCATCTTTTGCGCCGGGCGAAGTAGCTCATCATGGGTTCACCAGGCTGGCGGGCCAACAGACCACCAACTTGTGTACCCAGGCGATAGAGCTCTTTGCTCTCCTGCTCAAGCAGAGGAAACAAGATCTTTCTAACGGCTTCCACAATCGCTGGGATGTTGTTTTCTGAGTACAGGACCTCGGAACCGAGGTCCTCAGCGATTATGTAAGCCTCGCCCCTTAAGGAGTCGAGAAACTTGGATGCAAGAGCCTTCTTGTCATCCTTTTCAGTTTGGTTCCAGCGCGTTAAGGCACGGAACTCCCATTCGTGAAAATCACGAACGGTCCCGGCGTAGACCAGGAAACCAAACTTTGTCAGGCCGGTATCCCGATCCTGTGTGGGCCGATAGGCCAACGAACCACTTGCCATGGCTCTTCTTCGACCGCGGCGGGTCGACCGGAGTGCGCAAGGAGATCCTGGTTCTCTTAACCGAGAGCTCCGCTACCAGTGCGAAGACTAGTCGTTTTGCTGTACCTTGAGCTTGGCTCCAAAAAGGGGCCCCTGCGGTAGGAAGGTCAAGTTTGCCTACTGTACAAACACTGACACACTCTGTACGCGCTACTTTTGAGCCCTTATTCACAGATAGCTTTTGAGTTTCTCTGGATCAGAAATCAATTCGACAAACAAGTATTTCCTTGACTTCATGTAGAACGCCCTTTTTTTGTATTCAAGAACTATTGCTTTAAATATGCAGTAAAAACCAAACCTTCTTCCAAGGGCAAAATATGGCTTTGACCAAGCACGTGAGAATTTCTCAAATAAACCCGGAGCCAGCTTCATAGAAATTTCTGGAGAAAATGAGGAAGCCTTCATGAGAGAATTCCCTCACAAATCGTGTCAGTTTAGTAAGCGGCTCAAAAACATAAATTGATAGTAAGTCATGTATTCCCCCGAGCCCAACAGGTGGAGGGAGGGCTAGATCAAGCAATTGAACACATACACACACATAATATACTACCCCCCCTCCATGGATCAACGTGTTTTGTGTTTTGCTGTGGTTCCCAGAGGTTTGATACGTTTTCGCAGAAGCAAATGACTCACATGAGCTTTACAGAAGGTGTGCATGAAAGAGAGAAAATGTGAAGCGTGGAGGTAGACGTATTTTCGAAAAACACCCCCCCCCCCCCGGTGATAAGGGCTTT